GTTAATGTGGTACTTCTACTTTTACTAAAGTACATTCTTGTCTGTTTATTTGTATTTTTACTTAAGTACAGTGTTTGAGTACTTTCTCCACCACTGCAGCCATCACAGGTATACAAACGTTAGATATATACCTAATGATTACTTTCTCAAAGTTTTATAAAATTCCTTCAAAGCTTCATGAGATACAGTATTTTGCTAACAGGAAGTTTGGGTAGACTCCAATAGTTATCGAAGTGTTAAAAACAAACAAAAAAGGTACTGATGGGTCTGTTATGATGCCTTTCCACTCCTTCATGGTCCTAAATCTAAAATCTGACAGGTTCACACTGAAATACCTTTTTTCCCTTCAGCTTTTCCCTCTTCAGGGGTCGCCACAGCGAGCCATCCTCCTCCATCTCACTCTGTTTTAAAATGTATTTTTTTCAAATGTGCCATTAAAATGACGGCTGTATTAAACATTACTGTAAAGTAGTTGTATTATTTTCTCAGTCCCACGTGTTTTATAATCAAAGTCCTTGTTATAGTCATGGGTCAAGACACAGACAGTGTTTTAAACAAACATAGGTTTGGAGACAGCTGCTCTTATTAAAACTCAAAATTTATATTATAGGAAATATTGTTAAATACATTTTTCAAGGTTTGCACATGAGAATAAAAACACGGACGACTGCTGCAAGAAAGAAACCAAACGTTTCATGAAAATAAGACAAAAAAACTGTAAGTGTGCCTGACCAGCTCTGCACATTACGTTGTTTATAACCCTTGGCAAAAGGTTAGACATCATGGATGGACCCCAGCTGAACACAAGAGGCGGGGGTCTGAGGCCTGAGCACCATGGAAACTACCCTCTGGGCCCCCAGGGTAGAACATTATGCACACACAAGCTCTGTTTCTGTTGGACCACAGCACAGAAGCTCGCTTATTTGTGGAAATGTTAAGAATTCCAGCAACGAAGCTTAGGAAATTAAACATAAACCAAAAACTTCCCGAGCAGTGTGGTGGTGTCTCCCTGGTGGCAGCTCAGCGCGCTGAGGCCCGGCTTCTTACATTCTCCGTCATAATTTGTCAACAGTTTTGTGACATGAAATGGAATGAAAATTGCCAGGGAGGAAACAATTTCAGCCACTGAAAAACAAACTTTAAACCAAAAACATAAAAACCTTGTGCTAGCCTTGGGTACTTGACAGCAAGCCAAACCCCCTAATGCAGCAGGACAATGGTTTTTAAAGTCAACTGCAAACTATTCCACAAATTCCTGCAAAAACAGCTCTACAGTTTCATAGTGAAACGTTTTGTGTTGCTTCAGAAATACACAAATGAGCACACGTACACATTATGGGCTAAAAAAGGGGTAAAGCAGCAACATCAGTGGCGTGAGACCATCCAGAGCAGCATGAGCGTGGCACATGCCTTTGAAGTGAATCCAGAGCATGGGCATGCAACAAGCGTAGATCCCAAATTACACCCTGCTTTGCTGTGATCTCTGTAACCTCTGCAGAGCTAAAACTCAGTGTGTCCCTGCGTTCTGTAGGTTTTTGCACGTTTTCATGCTCAAGCAACAATGCAAAAATAGCGTACGCACATTTTGTGCCTCTGCAAGCATGAGTGCAAATGTGCTAAGTTGTGTGTGTGTGTTGCAGAGTTGTTCGTGTCAACTAAACACTTGCAGCAGTTTGTATGCGGCTGAAAAAAACACGTTCCTGGAGACGTTGTGCTGAGTTTGTCTTGTCGTCACATCGTCCACAGTGGACTCCCCCGCTCTGCCCTCACAGCCGACGATGATCAGGTTGCGTCTTGGATTTCCGTCTGAACGGCCCTCTAATCTCATGACTGTCGAGCGTGAATGGAACCACTTCTCGGTTCTGTGAGGCCAGCCCCTCGCAGGAGTTGGCACGACACATGTTTATGTGTTCCTCATTACCTAAGTGTGTCTGAGTTTTGAGCGGGACAGTGAGTGACAACTGAAAAGTTACAAAAGCTGGCACGTCCTCGTGTTTTTATGGTGGGGTTTGAAAGGAATGCTCTCTGCTTTTCAGCCTGACTCTGTGGATAAATAACAATTCCCTAAAATAACTGTAAATGTGTGACCTTTGTTGCAATGACTCTGAAGACTTGTTGCTTTATTCAGCAACCTTCTATAATTATGAGGTGGAACTGGTACTGGTTTGTTTCATCCCAGCTCTGGTAAACTCAACTTTATATGCAAACACTGTAAAATAGATGCATTCCTTCTTTTATGTTTAATGCAGAAAATAAATTATAAAAAAGAGAGAAATAACTTATTTGATAAAATCTTACTACACGTCAAAATACATCACAGTAAACATGCAAAGTACAATTACATCTTTGTTAATAAATATTAGGCACTCACAGTGAATAATGAAATAAACATCCTTAAGTGTAGTATTGCATAAGAGAAAAAAAATAAGTCACCTGAATAATTCAGGATGCTGGGGTGAGGAGACAGGTGCAAAAAACTGGATGTGATATTCAATGTCCCTGGTTTGACTTTGGCCTCTGCATGTCAAACATCCTCTGTTTACACTCAGACATGTACTCCTTTACTTGAGATAAAACTGGAAACTTGTAAAACCTGTGAGTATCCTCTGGTTAAAAAGACGACATATGTGTCTATGTGTCTAAAACTGCTCCTGAAGTGAAAGTTTAGCATGTTTGAGCTACAACTAGATGTTTTTTAAATATAATTAAGACGTCAATATGTCTAAGACAGTGGTTCTCGTGTTTTCCGGCCTATAAGTCGCATCTGTCCAAAAATGTCTTAATAATTTGGAAAAATCCATAAATGTGTCGCTTCGCCTTATGTCGCATCTGTTATGCGTCACCGCTGACAACCCAGAAATGTGGGCCGGTGTTGTGCCAAAAATCGATTGGCTGCCAAATGGTGGTCGCGGAAGCGTGCACAGGAGGACTTTAACAAGAACTTAACAAGATTAACACTTAAAAACAATTATTTGTTTGCTTGACTTTATAGTAAAGGTGTGTCTCAGTCTAACTTTTCCTTAATAAATGTACTTTAATGGTCAAATCAGCTGCATTTTGCCGAGGTGATGCAGTGATATGAAATGAAAACATGATCCAAGAGCTGCACAAAGGTGTCCATTTTAGGCAAGCCGATTGTGTCATTAATAGCCACTTTTACCTATTACATGACACAATGGCATGCCATACTGCTTGAGTGCCATCCAGCAGCTGAAAATGGTAGTGTTCAATATGTTCAACGTCAGAATGAATGTAAACTGACATATCTCAGCCAAAAATTGATTTAGAAATATGGGAAAAAAACAAAACAACATAAATAAGTCGCAGGCATGCAAATTAGACAAAAAAGTGTAACTTATAGGCCGGAAAGTATGGTAAATGTATGTATGTATATAAAATAACAAAATGCAGGAAATCACATCTACTTTACTCAAAATTTTACAAATTTTACAAATTAAGCCTGTTACTTGGTATGACTACTGCTGTTATGATTCTGTTCAGTTTTATGAACATTTTTGTGGTTATTTATTATTTTAGTGGTTTTTTGATTCTGTTGATTTTCTCAAAATTGTAATTTTTCAAAGTTGAAATTAAAAATTTTATTAATTAAATGTGTCTTGAATGAAAAATGCCCCCATGTTTAAAAGTATAAAAATTGTATTAACACTATTAAAGAACAGGTCTTTTAAGTATTTATGTTACACAAATATTTCCATTTCATTAAAGAGACAAATTGAAGAAAATGATTTAACAAACATGAGTGTTATGAGGGGGTTCCTGAACACAAAAAGTTTGAGAACCACTGCTCTAAAAGATAGTTACTCTCTAGTTGAAATTCAACCATCTCCTAAACTTTTACCTTTAGATTAAATAAAGACCAGTTTTAGCCTAAAGGTACGTCTGCAGTTTATTTGTCTTTTCATCTATGAAATACTCAGAGGTTAATAACTAAAGTTAACAAAGTGACAGTCATGTGATGTCACGACTTTAATGAAAAGACAGAAATCCAGCTGAATAGAGAGAAACGAGTCACAGAGCATGGATCTCCTTCTCTTTAAGCCTTTTGTTGCGCTGCAGGAAAACTCCACTGGTGAAAGCTAATCCTAAAAGTTTAAAGACAGAACAACTGGATCTCTGTTCTGATTGTTGAAGACGTTTCGCTTCCTATCCAAGAAGCGTGGCACTCCAAGCTTTAAACTGCTGAAGAAGTGAACGCTTTGGTGAAAACTTTGGACAGTTTTGATGGAGGGGGTAGAAATGATGGACATAGACACTGGCTCTTTTAATCTAAAAAGCTGTTGTTGGATTTCTTTGTTTGGGTGGAAAAATGTTGCGTGTGGGGGTGCGACACTGTTTTCTTTTTTATCCTGAATTTACTGCTGATGACTAAATGAATGACTAAATGCTTGTAAATACCTGAGCAGCACAGTCAAGATAATGGGAGATGAGGAGCGAACAGGGGGGGTGAATGCACTTCACTGGTGTCTGGCGGCACTTAGTGGTGGTTTGCTACAGAGCGTCCATGAAACTGCATGTGGCGGTACTGTTCACAAGTAAAAGGCTCTTATGGTGTTTGTATGACACTGAGTCGTTATGGGGACAATTTGATTCTACTGCAAACACTGAAAAATAAAACATCTCCATGTCACTGACCTCCTAACTTATAGTTTTCAACCACATGCAAACAGTTTACTGCCAAAATGACTGAGTGATGTAATGGAAACTATGAATGTATTTTTACTATCTAGGAACGAAGTGCAAAGTTTTTATGTAGCTTGTATTTTACTTTGTGTCTAATATTCACTGATGTTTGGCTCAAGTCTCATATTTCAATACAAACTTCAAGTAGAAACTCACCGAGATAAAGACAAAAGGCAAAGATGTAAAAGCAGCTTAATTTAGCACCATGCACTTTAAATGGTAATATGAGTTAATCCAGATGAACAGCTTGTCAAGTAGGAAAGATTTCAACTCTGGTTGCTGGTCCGATGAGGAGACGCCTACAGAATAATGCACACCCTGGATCTCCACATAGTCACATGATCATGTCCGTTCAGCTCAGCGTCGTTCAGTTCGTCAAACACTCCGCTCTCGATGATTTCCTTCTGCCACTGGAACGAGACTGCTCCTGTGCTGAACTCCTTGAAGAATTTTTCATCCTTAGGCTCAAGTCTGACATCCTTGACCTCGGAGTTGTCCTGTACTTCGTCGACATCCTTGACGTAAACCACATTTGGCTTTGGCACCCAGGGCGGCTCCACCAGTCCCGCCTCCAGTCGATGGAAATTGATATTCTTGAAAAAAGCGTGGTTTCGTGGGTCATCGCCCTTACTGTTAAAAAAATAAAAAGCAAAGTAAGTTACATACGTACTGTATATGATGAAGGCTGAGGCCTATGGCAGCAGGTAAGCAGGAGAAAGGAGATGGAGGGCCATCACACTTACTGCCAATTTAGACTTTGAAATTTGTGAGTTTTTTGTCTGTGGGAGAAAACTGGAGAAGCTGGGAACACTTATCATGTGTTGGGAGATCATTCAAAGTCAAGACACGCCTGAGCTGAAATCCAAACCATCTCAACCTTGTCAGCTGGAAGTGAGAGTGCTCATTACTACGTCACAGTGCAGGATTTACCCCAACTGTGCACCTGCAGTATGTACCGGTAACTAAAAAGGTGAACTAAACTACAAATAAAGGCGATTTAGTGAAGTGCAAAGATCAGTCATTTATGCAATGTATAAACAATTATAAAAGTGGTATAATGTTTTATTTTTATGAACGTTTACTTTTTTTAATTGAGCCTTTAAATTGTACAGTTTTTAGCCTTTATTCTAAAATGTAGCATTTCACTAGCATTGCTTATCAAAGTCAAACTCAAAGCTTCTTTATTTGTCATTCGCACCACACATGGTACATGTGGTGGAACAAAAGTGTGTACACAGGGCCCCAGTTACAACCAGCAAAAGTCTAAAATGTTTTTTAAAAAAGCAGTAATGATATTTTATAAGAAGTATATTTTAGATTTTATACCTCATTAAAATGTAAGTAAATAAATCAGTGAGTTTTGAATATGTCTTACAGAATTTTTATTTTATTTGACACTTTATCTTTTAAATCAATGCCACGTGTGCTTATCATGTTTGAAGCGAAAAGCAGAAGCCAAGATTCAAAACCAAAAACTCAAAAATGCTTGAATCTAAAAAGATCTAGTTTATTTCAACAAAAGGCTGACGAGGCAGCAGAGCGCCCTCACATGTGAAAAAGACTTGTAGGAACGAACGTGACTAATTATGGTCAGTCTCAGTGCACAGACAACTAAGAAACTATGACAGTTTCAAGAATGACAGACGTTGACAAACACCTGAGGATCAGGTGAGAGTGGGAGGGAACAGGAATTGAGCTACATGAGGGGAGAGCCACTGGAGAAGATGCACACACGGGGAACAAAGTCACAGGATCTACTGTGCCTTGTGAAAGTATTCGCCCCCCTTGAACTTTTCAACCGTTTGCCACATTTCAGGCTTCAAACATAAAGATATAAAATTTTAATTTTTTGTGAAGACTCAACAACAAGTGGGACACAATCGTGAAGTGGAATGAAATTTATTGGATGTGTCAAACTTTTTTAACAAATAAAAACCTGAAAAGTGGGGCGTGCAATATTATTGGGCCCCTTTACTTTCAGTGCAGCAAACTCAGTCCAGAAGTTCAGTGAGGATCTATGAATGATCCAATGTTGTCCCAAATGACTGATGATGATAAATAGAATCCACCTGTGTGTAATCAAGTCTCCGTATAAATGCACCTGCTCTGTGATAGTCTCAGGGTTCTGTTCACAGCGCAGAGAGCATCATGAAGACCAAGGAACACACCAGGCAGGTCCAAGATAATGTTGTGGAGAAGTTTAAAGCCGGATTTGGATACAAAAAGATTTCCCAAGCTTTAAACATCCCAAGGAGCACTGTGCAAGCAATCATATTGAAATGGAAGGAGTATGAGACCACTGCAAATCTACCAAGACCCGGCCGTCCCTCTAAACTTTCATCTGGAACAAGGAGAAGACTGATCAGAGATGCAGCCAAGAGGCCCATGATCACTCTGGATGAACTGCAGAGATCTACAGCTGAGGTGGGAGAGTCTGTCCATAGGACAACAATCAGTCGTACACTGCACAAATCTGTCCTTTATGGAAGAGTGGCAAGAAGAAAGCCATTTCTCAAAGATATCCATAAAAAGTGTTGTTTAAAGTTTGTCACAAGCACCTGGGAGACACCAAACATGTGGAAGAAGGTGCTCTGGTCACATGAAACCAAAATCCAACTGTTTGGTCACAATGCAAAATTATATGTTTGGCGTAAAAGCAACACAGCTCATCACCCTGAACACACCATCCCCACTGTCAAACATGGTGGTGGCAGCATCATGGTTTGGGCCTGCTTCTCATCAGCAGGGACAGGGAAGATGGTCAGAATTGATGTGAAGATGGATGGGGCCAAATACAGGACCATTCTGGAAGAAAACCTGTTTGAGTCTGCAAGAGACCTGAGACTGGGACGGAGATTTATCTTCCAACAAGACAATGATCCAAAACAAAAAGACACATCTACAATGGAATGGTTCACAAATAAACATATCCAGGTGTTGGAATGGCCAAGTCAAAGTCCAGACCTGAATCCAATCGAGAATCTGTGGAAAGAGCTGAAGACTGCTGTTGTAGTGAACTTGACCTGATGTCAAATCAATGACCTTAGGATTATATGGTCAGAAACTGTCATTTCATTGATCTGCATCTAGAAATACAGGTTGATCGATCCTGAGACTTTCTTTCTTGAATTAATCAAGTGGAAAAGACAATTCTCTATGATCATTACTATTTTACAAATGTTTGATAATCAAATTGTGTTAGTTCAAACAATGTTTACATGTTGAAGTGAACTACTCATTTTTATTTACTTAAACAGTAGTAATGATTTTTATTCCTCATTCAAAGAAGAAATCAGGGTAATATGCATTTCTTGATTTTTCTGTCTTCAATGAGCAAAGTTGTAAGTGTGTTAAAGTTCGAGCTTCGGTCAACTAAAAAGTTTACTGAAAAGAAATGTCATGTTTAACTTTTACAGCGAGATACAGGAGAGGTGGCACCACGAAGTCTGGTTTTTCCATGATATCTTTCTGTTTGTTCTTAAACAATCCTTGACTTTCCATAACACCTTACATCACAAACCACACCTCTGTTCTGGTCCATCCACGAATCAGAAAGCTCTCAAATGAACCGGAAGTATAGCCGTTTAAATGTGGCAACTTCCCAGTTCAACGGTAGAGTTTCAGAGTTCGAGAGTTGAGAAGAGATGAGTTCCAGAGTTCGAGAGTTGAGAAGAGATGGGTTACAGAGTTTCAGAGTTCAAGAGTTCAAGAGTTCTGAAGGAGTTCAGAGTTCTTGGAAACCAGACAAGCTGAACCAGAGACGATTTTGGGAATTATAACTTCTGTTTGGATAACCTCACACGACTCCTAAGGTTTTAGCTGTCCTCACGGAGACGCTGAAAGAGTCAAAAGGAGAGCTCTACACCGACGCTGAAGCTATCGTCTGCAAGGTAAAAGTTCTATTTCGACCAAGCGTACCGTTGGCCAAGCTGATTTCAATGGAGCGTGCTGTTCTGGTTAAAACAGATAAATTCCCTCACACATCTCTCTGTAAGATAAATCTCAATTTTCCATCTTCAAACTCTCCTTTCTGCTAGAAAATTAATCCAGATGTTTTCATTAATGTCTGTGGTGAAGCAACGGAAAACCATGGCCGTATGGTTTTCCTGATTGATTAATTATGCTGTTGTTATTTTCATATTTTGCCAAATTAATGTAAATGTTTGATGTTAAACTTTGATTCTGTAAA